GGCAGCAGCAAGGGGGAGCAGGGCCTTTGGCGGCTTCACTCTGTTCTCTTTCGTCTCCTCAGCTCAGCAGCTCAACGGAGACACTCAGCAGCAGCTGTCTCTCTTCGCGTCCTTCTCTGTCTCTCTCTGCGCATCGCCCTTTGCAGCCTGGCAGCAGCAGCAGCAGCAGCAGCAGCAGCAGCAACAGCAGCAGCAACAACGACAACAGCAGCAGCAGCAGGTCATCACAAAGCGGCATGCTGCCACAAGCCACGACGCCTTCGCTGCAGCAGCCGCAGCAGCAGCAGGAACACCAGCAGCAGCATCAGCAGCAGCACCAGCTGCAACCTCAGCACCCGCTGCTGCCTCAGCAGCATACACCTGAGCGTGACCGTACGCAGTGCCCAACTCCTGCTGCGGTAGCGACTGCTGCTGCTGCTGCTGCTGCTGCTGCACCAGCTGCTGCTGCTGAACCAGCAGCTGCTGCTGCTGCAGCTGATGCTTTGTGCAGCTCGGTCCTTCTACATCTTCCTCCTGATTCTCCTCCGTTAGGTGCAGCTCCTGTTGCTGCTTCTGTCGCTGCTGCTGCTCCTGTTGTTGCTGCTGTTCCTGCTGCTGCTCCTGTTGCTGCTGCTGCTGCTGTTCCTCTTGCTACTGCTGCTGCTCCTTGCTGCTGTCCACAAATGTCGAAGCAGGGAATGACAACCGTCACAGCAGCCCCCGGGGTCCGAAGCAGCAGTGACGTGCAGCAGCAGCAGCAGCAACAGCAGCAGCAGCAGCAGCAGCAGCAGCAGCAACTGCTGCTCCAGACCCCAGGTCCTCAAACACCTGCGGTATTTGCAGAACATTGGGGAAAGGGCACAGCAGCACAAGAGGCAGCAGGTGCTCTCCCTTCTGCTGCTGCTGCTACTGCTGCTGCTGGTGTTCCTTCTAGTACAGCTACAGCTACTGCTGCTGCTACTGCTGCTGCTGCTGCTGCTGCTGCTGCTGCTGAGGCTGTTTCACCCTTACGGGCTGTCGATACACCTCAAGAGGTGCGGCTCCGTCTTAGCGGTGGTGCAGCTGCTGCAGCACCTGGTGCTGCCTGTGCCGCTGCTGCTGCTGCTCCCGCTGCTGCTGCTGCTGCTGCTCCTGCTGCTGTTGTTTCCCCTCATGTCTGTGAGACAGCGGATTGGTTCGTGGATGGCTCACAAACTCCCCAGCAGCAGCAGCAGCAGCAGCAGCAGCAGCAGCCACTGCAGCAGCAAATGCAGCGGCAGCAGCAGCAGATACAGACACAGCAGCACTTAGACGGCTGGCTGCAGCGAACCCCCGGCGGCAGCTGCTGCGTTCCCCAACACCGTATCAACAGCAGCAGCAGCAGCAGCCGCAGCAGCAGCAGATGCAGTAGCAGCAGAAGCAGCACAACCAGCTGCTGCAGCAGGAGAACCACCAGCAGCGACAAGAGGAGCTGCACGGCAACGCGGAGACAGAGAAGAAGCAGCTGCATGCAGATGTCTCTCCTGAAAGCAGATGCGCAGCACTTGGGCCTCCTAGGCCCCGAGCACCAGCAGCAGCAGCAGCAGCAGCAGCAGCAGCAGCTGCTGCTGCTGCAGCGACTGCAGCAGCACCAAGAGCAACAGCCAGAACTGACACAGGCGCAGGTTGAGCAAACGAAACAAATAAAGCAGGTGCAGCAGATGCAACAGCAGCAGCAGCAGCAGCAGCAACAGCAGATGCAGCAGCAGCAGATGCAGCAGCATCTGGAGCAGCAGCTGCATAGCCAGCACCAGCTGCAGCAGCTGACTTGCCCGCACCTAGAGCAGCAGAGGCAGAACGCATGCACCACTCCTCTTGCTGCTGCTGCTCCCTTGGGCGCCCGCTGCTGCAGCAGCAGCAGCATTCATCCTTGCTGCTGCAGCAGGAAGCCAGCTGCTGGTGGCTGCGGTCAGGAGGCCTCCGCTGCTGCGTCGCAGCACAACCTGTCGCTGCAGCAGCAGCAGCAGCTACAGCAGCAGCTGCAACAGGAAGCGAAGCAGCAGTTGCAGCAGAAGGTGCAGCAAGAGGCGCAGCAGCAGCAGCCGCTGCAGCAGGCAACACTGCAGACACAACAGCATTTCTATGGAGACGCCTCCATCTACTCGCAGCCGCGCTGCCCATGGCTACCCCTCAGACCTCAGCAGCAGCACGGGAAGCAGCAGCAGCAGCAGCAGCAGCAGCAGCAGCAACAGCAGCAGCAGCAGCAACAGCAGCAGCAGCAGCAACAGCAGCAGCAGTTCCCACTCCTGCAGCAAGGGCTGCTGTTGCAGCAGCTGAAGCACCCGTCGCACGCGCCGGTATTTGGAGCCGATATAACTGAAAGGACCCCAGCATCTTTTGCTGCTGCTGCTGCTGCTGCTGCTGC